AATCTGTCTGACAATGAAAATCCGTTGTATTGTAAAATTCGTTATATCAAAATTCGTTGTAAAAAGAGTTGACTGTACTTCTGTATAATCTAAAAAATCTATAAGTAGAAAGTAAAATCGGTGGGTGAGAGGAAGGGAAAATAAGTTTTTTTGTTCTTTTTTCAAATTTTTATTTTTACAATATCATCTATGAATTAATAAAAGTTGCATCATTTTTACTTAATAACATTTTTAATGTTTTTTTATAGTAAAATTTGACATTTTTTAACAGTTTTATACTTTCAAAATTTGAATATTATATATTATATGTAATTTTGTTTGCTCTACAACTTTACTTAATTACACTTAATTATAAAAAGTAGTTTTTAAATACTGATTTTAAGTATAATATAAAGAAACTGCTAAATAGAGTATGAAAGTTTATTGTAAACCTTAACTATTTGTTGTATACTTTTAAAATTTGAATATTATATATAATTTTGTTTATCACTTCATCATAAAAAGTAGTTTTTGAATGCTGATTTTGAGTTTAATATAAAGAAACTACAAATTTTACTTAATATATATAAGTCACAAAACAGTTTGTTTAGCAGAATCAAATTTTTTTAAGTCATAATGAGAGTTTTCTTAGTAGAGTTGAAAATAGTTTGCTTATTGATTATAGTAAATTTGAAATTTTTATCTGACCTATACATAGATTATTTGGGATCCTGATACACCACTTTTAATAGCTATTTTATGACAAAAATTAGAAAAATGTAATTATCAACTTTCAAAATAGCAGTTACTTTGAATATTGTATACTTGAATTATTATTATAGTAATAATAAATATCAGAACATTTTACATAAATCATTTATAAATGTTATCTTTTAAAGTTATTATTTAAGAAAACGTTTAGGAAATTTATAAGGTAAATATGATATTATAAGTAGATCTGAAGTTTTTTTGAATAAATCCTATTATTATTTACATCATATTACAAGATATATATAAGTATCATATCATAAAATTATCTGTTCATTTGAATATGATCTTTTAATCATTATATTTAGAACAATTATTATATTTCGTAATGGTGATACTAATAAGGTTATAGTGAAATTATACTCAATTCTATTTTATTATAGAACTCAGCAATTAAATTACCTTTTTCAAAAGAAAGAAAACAAATAGATGCAGATGCTTAGTAAGATATTTTAAGATTATCTGTAATTTTAATTTTATGGTTGATCAAGTGTTGAAATTTTTAAAGATATTTTTGATAGGTTTTGTATATCTATTAGTAACTAATATAGACCTGTAGATATTCATATGAATAGAACTTATTACCATAAATATCAGATTGAGTAGATTCTAAGATTAAATTCAAGAAAAGATATGTTAAATTGCATGATTGATATCAAAAAGTATTGAAATTCTAAAACATACTAGTAAAGTGAAGCTTTATAAATTAGTAAAATAAAATAAAACTAATATATCTTTTGCATGCAATCTAATAGTTAGTAAATATAATCATAATTTATATTATACTTTTCTATATCATTATAAACTTTAATTGATTGAAAGAATTTGGATAGTTACAAAAGAAGAGATTGCTAGAACTAGTTTACATCTTAATCTTCTTGCTATTAAAAATAAATTATTATTTGCATTTAAAAAGAAGGTTACCTCTAAAACTATCATTAGATTTTGGAGAAAAACTCTTATTAAAGTAAAGGAATATAGAGATTTAAATGATAATATAATTTTACTTGAAAGTGATAATGAAGATTTTATAAATAAAGAAATTGATACTTAGTAAAATTTTTTATTGAAATATAATATTTTAACAAAAATTATATTGAAATATATTTTAAATCTAAGATGATAAATTATAATTTTTAAATGTGATTATTAATAAATAAAAATTTTTTTAATTATTAATATATTAGTATATTTACATTTTTGTATCAGATAATATATATTTTAATTGATTATATAAATAATAAATTGTAAATATGTAATTAATTACAAATATTATAAATATATATAAGATAGGTAGAACTTGACAAATTGATGAAAATGCAATATTAGAATTTTGATCAAAAGAAATACTATTAAGAATATATATAAAATATTTTAATTTTAATTAAAAGAATATAATTCATTTACAAAATAATTGTGAAGATTTAAATAAAATGAAATTTACCATCAGCATTATTTATTTTATTATAAAATTTTTTATTTTTTAGTTGTAAAATTAGATATAAAGATTATTCTTAGGATAAATAGAAAAAAAATATTTAAATCTCATATATTTAGTATATAAATACAGATATTTTTAAACGAATTTTTGATAATATTTTAATAATATGATATATTATTATAATTATTATAAATTTATAAATAATTTGTATAAAATATTAATAATATATTTAAAAATTTAAAATTATTAACTTAATAACTTATTTAATATAAATAATATAATTAATATTATACATTTAAAATTAAATTAAATATCTAAGAAATTGGAGAAAAATTAAAAATAGCAAAAAGTCAGAAATATAATTATCAACTTTTCTTTATACATATTATACAAGTTTTCAAAAATTTATAACAAATTTTTTGATAAGATTATTGGTAAAATTTTAAAAAAAAAATTAGCAATTTTGAATTTTAAAAAATGTAATAAATTTTAAATAAAAATTATACATCATCGCAGTTATTTCTAACTAAATGTTTTATATACTTCAGTTCTACAACCTTAACTAATGTCTCTGTTTAAGGTTAGTGATCAGATGATCTTTGCTTGACAAGGTTTTCCGAGGGTTTTCTTCTAAAAAAAAAGATTATTGGTAAAAAAGCTCCTTTGTTAATTTTGTTACATTCAAAATTGGAAAAGAAGCCAGAATGCTCTTCTTAAATCTTAATAATAATGCACGATTGATTAATGGTAGTAATCTAAAGATGACACGAAATTTGTCCTCAAAAAACGGCTTTGATTCCTAAATTAGTATTTTAGTTATCATTGGCAATTTGATTTTAAGTTCAAAATTAGTTAGTACATATTGTCTTTCGTAAATCTTTACTTTTACAAGTTTCTTTTTGATTGGGGGGTTATCAAAGATTAAATACATAAATTTAATTTATGTTTATGATGAAAATTTAAACCAACATTTTTAAATTAATATAAAAGTGTATATATCTTTCAAAGTATTTTCTCACGGAAATTTTTACAAATAAATAAATTTTCTTCTTTTCCATTATATTAGATTAATCGATTTACTTCTTTTTTTTTTTTAAAGAAAAAAAAGGAAAAACAAAAAACTTTCGAAAAAGAACCATTATGTTTATGTAATTTTTTTATTAAAATATTTAAAAATAATTCTTTTAACCAAAAGTAAAATTAAAGCTTTAAAACTTACGTAATCTTAATAAGATAAGAAAAAAAAATATGAATTATACAACAGATGAAAAACTTTCTTTACATCATCATAAAAATCGTGAAAATCACGAGTTTGATCTCGTAAGTACGTTTATATTCTTTCAAATCCAAGTTACCGTTCGTGGCTAAGTAGTTCGATAAATTTGGATATCCCATACCAAAATTAAATTTATAGTAGCGATAAAAGTTCAAAAGGAGCCCATTGATTCGATAAATTTGTTAAGAGGCTGTGTAAAAGTACTTTGTGATGGCTTATTCCCTTGTGAATTTGCGTTATTTTTTTAAAAATTCTCAGCTTTTTCAAATGAAAAAAAAAAAAAAAAATTTTTTTTTTTATTATTCTTCCCAAACTAACAATTGCTCTCTGAACTTTTTCTTCTCGACTTTTCAAATCGCAAAGATGTATACACCAGATACGACTCTTCAGTCACATTTAACTTCCATATCAAAACCTCAGTCAATAGGAAGAATAGGAACCATCAAGTTATTGATTTTAGCAATAGTATTTCCAATCATGATCCTTACCATTGTAAATCCCATGTGGGTTTGCATTTTCATGAAAACACCTCATTTACATGAACCGATCACCACCACCAATGGAAATGTTAAAGTTCATGATCATACCAATCCTAAAGCGAATCCACATACTAATACACATACTAATACACAATTTAAAGGTGGGATTAAAATAACGAAAGAAACGTTGGATATAATTGTCGCATCAAAAGATGGTCGTCATTTACAAGAATTAGAGACTTCTGTCACTATAATTGAAAACATTACCCCCAACACCAATAAACAACCCCATCAACATAATCATGAATCGATCATGAATCGAATTCGAGAAGGGGTATTTAAGAATCGTAACAGTTGCGCTTACTTTGCTTTAACGATCTTATTATTAAGTGCTATTATCATCGGTGGGGTTATCTTTTATTTTAGAGATGTTAGTAAGGTGCGGTATACTTGGAGAATTTACTCGATTCCTTATTCGAAATCTTTTTCATTATGATAAACTAATTCGTTAATCTTTAGATGTATAATGACGAAAATCAACACTTACCAAATGACGAGTATTATGTAAGGATCGATGACTGTGAAGAAGATGATGATAATAAGACCACCGTAGAAGAATCATCAACCTATGACGAAAAGAATGTCACGGAAGACAATACAACCACGGAGCAGGTAACGAATTTTTACTTGACATGTTTTGACTTGTTTCTTTTCATTTTAACTTATTTTTCTTAATTTATTTGTCAGGATCATAATCTTACTCAAGTTTCATTTAATGATGCTCATTTTGGCCCTACTTCCACTCTCGAACCACCGCTTTATTCTTCCAATACAAATCATGAATTAATCTCTGCAGCTTCATTGAATCCTCTAACAGTAAATATTCAACAATCGGTTGACGAAAATAAATTGTAAAAAAAAAAAAACTTAGAAGTCTAAAATTAAATATTACTCTATTTTTTTTTTTTTTTTTTTTTTTTTAAAAAAAAATTAAAATCAAATAAAATAAATCAAATAATTTAATTATATTGAACTGAAAATATAACCCGAATTTAACATTTATTATACAAAATTGTTCACATAAACAGGAATTGCCTTATTGAATATATTTAGAACTGTATATTAACGTTCAAGTAAATCACGTTTTGGGTCATAATTAAATCTCATTCAAGGCACTTAATATTAATCCATAAAGATTATCATGTGAAATGCAACCCTTTAAAGAATTATGGTTTAGGTTTTAATATAAAAGAATCCTATTTTAGAATCTTATGCAACAATTCCTCCTCCTCTTGCATTCAACAATTCTTTAGAAAATAATAGAGAAATGGCTTCAGGAAGCCCTTTATCTATCGAAACATATCTTCAAAATTGGGAAAAAGTTTGTTCAAACTTTTATACGAATGATGATAAACTTGCAGGCACAATCGTTGGACTTGTAGAATTTGCTTCTCATTCTAACGGGGAAGTAACCTTAAATTTTTCCAACGTTGACAAAACTATGGTGGAAAATGAAAAAGATTTAGAACAACTTTTTAATAAGATTGGATTTAACAACGGTGTAATGTTATTTCCAAAAGAGTTCGATAAATATCTTGAAACAAAACGTAAAATACGATCAGAATTCCATCGTAAGAAAGCCATAGAACTTCATGAAGAATTAAACGGTTTATTAAATTCTAAACCGGCACAATATACATCTTTACATCGTCATTCGGAATTATCGACTTTTGTTAAGCAATATAAAAGTTCGATAGGTGCAAAACCTTTCATTAAATCGTTATTACGTATGTTTCAATTACAATTAAGACAATCAACTTTAATAAGCTGGACCTTTTTGGATGATATATTTACTCAAAATGGTCCCGATTTTATGAGAGCTAGCGTTAATTTATTAGTTAACGTTTTGGGTTTCACTCATACGATTCAGCAAGCTGATGAAAGTGGTCAAGGAGATAATTTGAGAACTTGGTATATGAACAGTTCATTAAGTGATACCAATATTAAATCTTTAATTGGAACCTTTCCAAAAGAAAATTCTTTTGGTAATGTAGGTGCAACTGGTTCCATAGAATTATCTTCACAACAAAGACCTATCGAAATGACTTCTTCTAGAGGAAATATTATTAGCAGGTTATGTTATTTACCTATAAACATTCTTTTGTTCTGGTGGGGTCTTGCAAGAATGTGGTTAGATTTTTGTTTTGGAATCATCGGATTTAAAAAGAACAAACCGGAGGATTCTTCTGAGTTGCGTGTCTAAGATATCTTTAGAAAATTTATTCGATAATTTATTAAAATGCTGGAAATTTTACTTAATTTAATAGTTTAGTTGAATCAATAATATTTGCGAAAATCGTTTATTTCTTTTCTAAATAAAATTACGATTTATTTATTTTCAAAATATTGAAGCATCCCAATTTTAAAATACCAAAAATTGCTTTATTCAATTGCTATTTGTAAAAAAGCTGACGAGGAGATATTCACAAAAAAAAAAAAAAAAAGATCTGTCGAAATGATCCTTCTAAATGAAATATCATTAGCAGGTGATTTTATTTATCTATAAAGATTCTTTTGGTTTTAGAATGAAATGATTAGATTAAAAAAGAAAACCGATTTAAAATTATGATTTGTAATATTTGTAATTCAATTTTTATGATCTACAAACAAATCTGCGCGCAAAAAAAAAAAAAAAAAAAAAAAAATTTTAAAATCTCGGTGGGGAAGATCTATTCGCGATAATTCAAATCGCTTGTCCTTTTTGCTCTTTTTTTATAAAATTTATCACTTAAATTTATTCCCTTTGAGATTACGATTATTTGTTATACAAAATGTTGAAGAATTTAAGACTTATCAAACCCGTACGATTTTTTTTTTCCATCTTGATAAAATCCTCTTAAAAAATGTTGACTCATCTTTATCTCTGTTTCTTTTTATTTTACATGATAGATTGCTTGCTTACAATATCGTTCATTTAGCATTGTTCCATCACGTTGGGTAAGATAAATGTGCGCACAGCTACATTTCTTTTCATATCACGTGAGCGTGTACTTATTATACTTTATTATTTATTATATAAAAACACAAAAATATTATTAAATATTATTTATTATCTTTTTTATTGACATGACTTCACAGCAAAAACTGAGAATTGAACGAGACACGTTTGGTGACATTGAGGTTCCTGCGGACCGTTACTGGGGTGCGCAAACTCAAAGGTATGATTCCTATTATTTTTAACGAACATGTTTTGACTACAGTATAAAAAAATAAATAACCTTTAATGGAGTAGTACACTTGTCATTTAATTTTCATTGTAATTATATTATTTAATTATAGGTCTCTCAAAAATTTTGACATTGGAGGCCCAACCGAACGCATGCCTGAACCTTTGATAAAGGCATTCGGTATAATAAAGCAAGCTGCTGCTACTGTGAATATGACCTATGGTCTTGACCCAAAAATAGGTAACACTATCATCCAGGCTGCAGAGGAGGTATATCAATTTTAATTGTTTATCTATTCCGGAAGGTCTTTTTAAACTATTAATCTTTTCATGAAATTGTAGGTGAGCAAGGGAAAACTTTTAGATCATTTTCCTTTGGTAGTGTGGCAGACAGGTTCTGGAACACAAACCAACATGAACGCAAATGAGGTAATTACAAACGTGTCAATTTATTTTTTTGCGATGAAAAAAATTCCTTTCAAATCATCTTTTTGATTTTGCGATACAAAATTTTTTAGGTCATTGCAAATAGAGCCATCGAAATATTAGGTGGTCAACTTGGAAGCAAAAATCCGGTTCACCCCAATGATCACGTGAATATGAGTCAGTCCTCAAATGACACGTTAGTATTCATTCAATACATCCATTATATTTGTATATCTTTTAATAAAAAAATATCACTATATAAATATTACGGACTTTTAATTATAATTGGTATAGTTTTCCTACAGCCATGCATGTGTCCGCAGCTATCGAAATTAACGAGCGACTTATTCCCGGATTGACCCTGTTGCGTGACGCGATTGCGGAAAAATCAAAAGAATTTGAAAAAATAATTAAAATAGGAAGAACTCATTTGCAAGTATGTTTTATGTTTTATTGACGTGTTTCATTAATAATTACACGGTCGCGTATGATAATTATACTTTTGCCAAGGAGTAATTTGCAACAGCAAAAGTTTAATTATCTGAACCGGATAGTTATACCGTAACTTCACGGGGAATCGCCGATAGTCTTCCCAGTTACTATGAATAATGCATTTGATTGGTGGATTTTGCCACGTTGTAAAACATCCAATCATGATTACTTACCGTGAACTGTGGAAGTAATCTCTGAAGTTACTATAAATTAACTTATACTAATAATAAAATAAAATAAAATAATTGATAGGATGCTACACCGCTTACTCTTGGCAATGAATTCTCTGGATACGCACAACAATTGACATTTGGTATTGAGCGTGTTAAAACAACTTTACCAAGAATATATTACTTAGCACAAGGTGGTACGGCCGTTGGAACCGTAAGCAATCGATTAGATTTTACTTAATCGCTTCCTTGTCAAACACATATGTTAACATTCATTTTTAAAATCTCCTTAGGGATTGAATACCCGTAAAGGATTTGACGTAAATATTTCTAATGAAATTGCGAAGATAACCGGATTACCATTCCAGACAGCGCCTAACAAGGTCAGCTTGTAATTGATTTTGCGATGATCTTTTAAATTTTCTGTGTTTGCACGTTAGTTAAATACTTTTAGCAATAATATTAATAGTTCGAGGCGTTGGCAGCTCATGATGCTATAGTGGAAGTCAGTGGAGCTCTCAATACTGTAGCCGTCTCTTTTATGAAAATAGCAAATGACATACGTCTTCTTGGTAAGGCTTTTAAATATTGGTTTATTACGTTATGGAAATGACCTGGACTTAACCATAATAATATTTTAGGTTCTGGACCTCGTTGTGGATTCGGTGAACTTTCACTTCCCGAAAACGAACCTGGATCTTCAATTATGCCCGGTAAGGTTAACCCAACCCAAAGTGAAGCTATGACAATGGTTGCTGCACAAGTAATGGGTAATCATACTGCCATATCTATATCTGGTTCCAATGGACATTTCGAAGTGAGATTTATACATCGTATTTTAATTTCCAGTCGTATATACCTTCTTTTTAAAGGTTTTTAACGATAAATATTAAATGTTTTATTATTAGTTAAACGTATTTAAACCTGTTATGATTAAAAATCTACTTCATTCGATCCGTATTTTGGGCGATGCAAGTGTGTCCTTTACAAAGAATTGTGTTGTCGGGATCAAGGCTAATGAAGAAAAGGTCATTACTCTCTCTTCACTCTTATCAATCATATGTTTTAAATTTTAATAATGTTTGAAATGTTTTTAGATTAATACGATTATGCAACAAAGCCTTATGCTTGTTACTGCTTTGAATCCACATATTGGTAATTATTTTTGAAATCAAATACTCATTAAGATGAATTGAATTAATGTTATGGTAATATTTATATTTTAGGATATGATAACGCAGCTGCTGTAGCGAAGAAAGCACATAAAGAAAATTCGACGGTAAATTCTAATTATCATATTATATTTATTTTATATTTAATTTGCTAATATATATATATATATATTATAACTTTAATCAAAAAGTTGAAAGAGTCCGCGATCAAATTAGGACTTCTCACTTCCGAGCAGTTTGTTGAATATGTTAAGCCAGAACAAATGCTCGGTAAATGTTTATTTAATTAATATTTTGTTATTGTTTTTAAAGTTTTTTTTTTTCTAATCAATTTTTAATTATTTATGTAGGACCAAAGTAATTTATTAATATAAGTCCATCAAAAAATATTCAACAATTTGATATCACTAAATGTATAAAATACCGTTTAATGTAATAGGGGATTTTATAAATTAACACTAACAGTTACTATAAAATTATAAGATTATCCTAATAAAATTGAAATCGAAAAAAAATAAATCGTGCCAAAATATATTGTACATCTGTATTTAACGTAAAATTTATTTCAGTTTCTTTAGAAATTGAATTTGTTAACTGATAAATCTTATCCATGATGCTTTTCATACTTTATATTTTAACAGATCAGAATTAAAAATACACACTCTTAAGAATAAATTAATAAAGTTCTTGAATTCAATATTTGGAAATCATAATTATAGTTAAAGGTATTTAACTTGGTTATAAAGTTCGTAAAAAATTATAAAAGATTAAGTATTTCCAATAAAAAGTTTTGTAAAGATGACGTATAAGAGTTATATATTACATGATATTTCCGTGTAATGTTAGAAACTTTTCTTTTTTTAAATTGAAATCATTTTGTATTTTATTAATAAAATGATATTAAATATTCTGTAATTTAAAATAATAAAATTTCCTGTAATAAATTTTGATTATAATAAAAATAAATAAAAAATCTTAAATTATTTATTTATATATAAAAAAAATGGTTTGACTTCTCCTTAATACAAAAATGATTAAATATAGCTAAATAAGATATTAAATTACAAAAGTATTATAAGGTTTAACGGAATAATTTATTAAGTAAAAAATATTTTTTATTTAAATATTCATTAATTTATGTTAAAATAATATATTTTTTTTAATATTGATTTAATTTTTTTTTTTTTAGTACTCATCTTTGATATTATTATCTTATTAAAAATTTTCATTTATTTTAATCTATAAAGAAATTTTTTTTACATAAAATTCAATTTATTTTTCAGAAAAATAAAGATAAACTTATTTTTTTTTTTTTTATATAAAACAAAACTTTATATTAATATTTTAAAAGATTTTAAAATTAATTTTATTTAAAATTATATAATTTAAAATATTAAAATTTTATTAATATATTTATAATTTTAATTTATAATTTATAATTAACAATAATATTATATTTAAAAGATTTTAATATTTATTATTAAATAAAATATTTTTTATAATTCAATAGATACTTTTATAATTAATTATCTGAAGCAAAAGTGAAAGATGTTTATATTTTATATAAAAGGTTGAAATGTTAGTTGATCAATATAGATATTATAT